GTAACACCGAATCCATCCAGACTGAGCAGAAAACAGCCCACTGGAAATGGATGACATTGCAGACTGGATAAGGTCACCATTATGAAAAGCAGCGTAGGAAGAGAGGGAGAGAGAGAGAGAGAGAAGGAGAAACTAGCAGGGTGGTGGCTGAAGGACTGAAAACTCAATGACATTATTATATACACATATACACACACACATCATCTTTATGCTTTCATTCATATTAGAAGCACTTCAATCCCCCACCCCCATTCTGCTTGATCTCTGGGCAAATAAAAAAAACTTACCCTTTCAGTGGGGCTACCCTGCACTGCAAGGGTTAAATGCTTGTGTTGGTCTAGGGCAGGGGTGGCCAAACTTCGGCCCTCCAGCTGTTGTGGAACAGCAAATCCCATAAGGCACTGCAAGACTCTGACAGCCACAGGCATGACTCCCAGAGCCAGATGCATGGTGGTATTTGTAGTTGCTCCCTAGGTGGGCAGCAGATTTTGGCTACCCCCCAGGGCCGTCCTTATAATGAGGCAGCATGAGACGTGTGTGTTTGTGTGAGGGGGGGATGAGGGCGACCACAGTGTCCCAGTGTGCTAAGAGCTCTTAGCAACCAATGACGCTCTGTCTGGCTTCCTGCCCAGCTTGTAAGCATCATCAGTTGCCGAGGAGCTGAGCGGGGCGCTGTGGCCGGTATCCTGCCGAGCTCCTGGCCGCCAGTGACATCAGTGAGCTGGGCGGGATGGTACAGAGAGATGCTGACAGGCACCGCTCTCTGTCTGGTCCCACAGCCACCCGTCCCACTGCATCCAACACCACCCCGCACCTCCCTCCCAAAGCTCTATCAGCAGCAACAACACCGATCCGCCTCACCGCTCTATGGCCTCCCGGCACACAGGGTAGGAATGACCCCGATACCCCTGGTCTGGGGGCTAGAATAAAGCAGCTATACTGACCTGATCCTAAGTCCTGCTCAGCCAATCCCTGCAGCCTCTTCTCCCCCTGGGCTCCGGCGGTGTAATCGCATCTCTCTGGCATCATCCCGTCTTCCATTAACCTGCATTAGACATAAAGACCCCGAGGCTCATTCCATAGCCAAAGCAGAGGTGAGTGCTGACTGCCATGAGACCGAGGATCAGGTGAGTATATCTTCTATATATTTTAATTAATTTTTTAATTTTTTTTTGTAACTTTATTTTTTTTAACTTAACTTTATTGCCATCACAGAGGGAGAAAACAAGCTCACTATGTGATAGCCAATTTGCAGTGACAGGTCCTCTTTATGGAGACATCAGGGGTCTTTAAGACCCCTAATGTCACATAGGGACCCCCAGAGAAGCTGATGAAGCAGAGACCTCTGTACCGGAGAGTGACACTGAATGCAGGAAGTGATGTAATACACAGCACTGCCTGCATTCCGAAGAGGAGGAGGAAATCGTGTACTGAGCGCCGTTTGATCTCCGGTCGTAGAGCTGCTGTGCTGGTCCTGGGCTTACACCGGAACAGCGGAGCTCGGGATCGCCAGCGGCGGCGGAGGGGGGGGCCCGCACACCCGCACGCAATTACAAGCAATCTCGGGATGGGAGGTTTAAAAACGCCCACCCGCCCTCAAGAAGCCGCTGTCCGGCTGTTTCATTACAACGGCCGGACAGCAAGTGGTTTATCTATTGAAACATTAGGCTGACAGAACCTGACTTTTGTTTCCCCATTGTGATATTACCAATGTGTCCAACCCAATGAATTAACCACTTGCTGCCCGGGGCAATTTCTTACTATTTGTGCACACGTGATAAAATATACATTTTTGGCTAGAAAACAGCTTCAGACCCCCAAACAATGATATATGTTCTGAAAGCAGAGGCCCTGTAGAATAAAAAAATGCTAGTTGCAATTTTTTATGTCGCACAGTATTTGCACAAATCTTGATCAAACCAGTATTTTTAGGATAAAATAAACCAAAATTTAAATTTAGTGCACAGTAACATAATATAATACCCAATTTTTTGGTAAAATATAAAAGACGTCGATGTGCCTACGCGCAAAAACGACAATTGCGCTACACATGTTACATATCGCCGCAAACGTTGGAGTGAGAACAATAATTCTAAGGCCATTGATCCCTGTTGATCAATGGCCTGATGAGCGGTAAAATCGTTTAAAGTGTTCCCTATGGGAAATTTGGGGTATGGTAGTTTTTTTGCACTTTTTTATTTTTCTTCTATGTGACTTCAATCTTTTTTTAATTTTGAAACACTTTTTTTTTAACTAACCTTATTGCTATCACATAGGGGACTAACAAGCACCCTATGTAGTAGCAGATAGGGTGTGACAGGTCCTCTATATGGAGATATCAGCGGTCTTTTGGACCCCTAATGTCACCTAGGGACCCCAAAGAAGCTGAGGAAGCAGAGATCTGCATCACCAGCTTCATTTCCTGGCTCTAAGAGACTGTGTACAGTGACACTGGAAGTGATGTAATACACGTCACTTCCGGGTCCAGTGAACGGAGGAGAGATCAGCGGCTGGAAGCTGGATCTCTCTCCGATCAGTGCGGGGATACCCGCCGCGCTGGTCCCGGGGAAGCTGACGGGGGCCGCGGGGGGAGGGCGCCGCACGGTACAAACGATCCGACGGCTGTGTAGACGCCAGATCGCTTATACATTAACATCGCTGGCTGTTAAAAACGATACCACTTCTGCGGGCCGCCGTCTATAGAGGTATTACGGCCTGGAAGTGGTTAAAGGGACGGTCCACCCAGAAATGATATGAGGATTTTTTCTTCTGGCACTGCAATAGAGTTCATATATGTTAGTGTAGCTTTGAAGGCTCGATCATACCAACCTGTTGGGCAGCCTTGCCGAATACAGTCCAAACGCATAGACTAGCCGATCTGCCTTATGTCTTATTGCTTATAGTAGAACTAAAGCCACAACTTTGAGCGCACTGTGTGCAGCTTTTGAGAAGATACGCTATTAGCGTAGCAGGCGCTATGCAAAATGCGCAGCCGGCTTCCTCGCTACGCTAATAGCGTATGAATGGATACCAGGTCACAGTTCTACATTTGATGTACATTGTACGGTGAGGAGACATCAGGATTTGCGATATGGAGGTGCCATTAAAGGAGAACTATGGGGTAAGTGTTTTTCCTATAGTTCTCCTCAGGGTCACGGGAGGACGTAAACTAGCGTCCTCCCATCACCCAAAGCTCAGTATACCGCGAGCTACAGCTCACTATATACTGAGACCGCCACAGCCGGGACGCATCCTGACATTACTGTCGAGATCCACCCAGCTGCGTGAGTGACAGCTGGCTCTGCCTATCTAGAGGCAGAGCCAGCTGTACCCACCCCCTCCCCCATTCGTTCCGCCAGTCAGCGCTGGAGGATCGGAGCGGGGAGGCGGGAAATCCCTGCAGGGAGACGCGACAGACAGTCACCGCTCTCTACACAGATAGATGGAGAAGTGAGCGAGCGACAGTATGTGTTCCCTCACTTCCCGATCTATAGAGCTGACCTGTGACAGTCTCATTGTGATGAGGGAAGATAGTGCGGTGCATTTTTATGAACATATTTCCACCAGGGTCTGTTTGTTCTGTCTTTGGGTTTTCACTGCGGCTGTCATTTTTTGGGGTTAAAGTGGAATTAAACCACAAGCAGGAATATCGTTTGCTTGATATTACCAGAACTAGTGTCCCCATTGGAAGATTTCCCATCTACTGCTGTTCTGATGACAACTCAAAAGTTGGAACTTTCTTTCAGTAATAACATTCACCAGGACAAATAGAGCGGGTGAATCTCTCTAAGGGTACGTTCACTCCATATGCATTGCGTTCCGGCCCGATCGCACTGCATCGCGTCCGGCTCACTATTTCATGGGGCTGGAGGGGGCGTGGCGGGCCATTGAAGTGAATGGCACCGTAGCCACGCCCTCCAGCCACAATGCGATCGCCCGCAAGTGCCTGCGCTCCGATCAAAATAGTGCTTGCAGCACAATTCCCTTTCCATGGGACCTGTGATCGGACGAAGGAGATTGGATGTCACTATGTCGCCCAGAAGAAGGGACCCTGCGTGACCCCGAAATGTTTGCTGTATGACACATGTGACAATTGAATAAAAAGTGCTTTGCTTCTTGCACACATCATCGAGTGCTGGTGACTTCTATTATGGACTATTATGGATTAAGGAGACACGCACATTAGGGTTGCCACCTTTTCTTCAAGCGAAACCCGAACACTATAGCATCACACGGACATATTCTTTTGGGAGAATGAGGCGTGGCTTATTTATATGTAATGGGCACCACACATTAATATGTAAATAACACAGTTGAAACTATTTGCAGTGGGGGGCCAGTAGCCGCTATCTTCATTTTGGTTGCCCCGTGTGCCTGACATCTTGTGTACGGGTTCCTGGTGCCATGAAACCCGGACGCAGCATTCAAAACCCGAACGGTCCGGGTGAATCCTGTACAGGTGGCAACCCTAACGTATATGCTGTGGGTAAAAAACCTGTGATTCAGGTAATGGGGATGGGGTGTTGAAAAGATGAGTGGGGGTTGGACTGCGGAGTGGCACCACGTTCCATCCTAAATATGGGTCTAACACGAAACATAGTATTAAAGATGGAGTCATCCTTTAAGCAGGTAAATTAGCATACACATAAATGTGCATCTTGGAAAACCTCCAATCGGGATGTTTTGCGTGTGCACCAAACATGAACAGATCCTTCCTGTGTCCATTTCAAGCTCACTGGATCTCACAGAGTAATAATGAAACCTTCCATGTCATCTATAGTCTGTGATCTATATGTACAAAGCTACTGCAGAATAAACCACATTGACAATGGTGTGAATAAAATAAAACTCATATAAAAAGCAATGAAACTGATCTTAGTATAACACTGAATGCTGCAATGCACCAGCACCGTCAGCACACAGCTGCCATGGCACAGGCTCTCCCTGTCTGAACATGCAACCATCATGCAACACTCACTATGGCTACAATGACAACTGACAGCGATGACGCACCACGTGACGACCTCTAGGATTCTTCCCCTGCACAAGTCCAGGCGGCGCACCCTCTCATATAGATGTCACAGGATGGGCAAAAGCCCCGCCCACTTACGGCTTTCAGGCTTCGGCGCGCGCTGATGACGTAGGCAGGAAACTAAACTGGAGCTGGCCGGGTAGAAGGTAAATAAAAGAGGGAGGGCATGTCAAAGAATTCACGCTTTGCGATATGGGGGTGGCATTCATTGTTCTCATGGCTTGTTATATAGCCGTTTTTACTTGCTCTGTCTAGGTTAGGCTGGTGGTTTATACTGGGGTGCTGGGATCTTAAAGGAAAGCTCCATCTGTGGTATTGGGGGTGGTTATGTAGGGCAGTAAGATAATAAACTTTGGGGGTGTAGCTGGCAATGATCCTAAATGCCAGGCTGGTATGACGTAATACATTGGAGGGGTGTTGGATGATTTGTAAAGGGGGGGCATGGTTGTCATGGCGAAAGAGAGACTTTTGGCAGCTATGTTTGAAAACATTTTTGTCTGGCCCCATTACACCATTGCTGGCTCCTAAAGAGGAACTTCACCCGACCCAGTGAAAAATGAAGCTACATATAGTGTAGCTGCTGACTTAACACACGTACCAGCCCATGAAGTCCAACACCATCTTCCTCGCATCTAGTTCCTACGAGGTCTTCTGATCATTTGCACCTCCATTATTATTGGGAGTCAGCTGTCACTGCTCACAGCCAGCAAGATCATGGACTCCAGGCAGACAAGTCTCCTGTGATCTTGTTTAAGGATGTTTGTCTGCCAGCTCACTTTGTTTTTGGGGCAGGGGCGTGGCGGTGCATTGAAGTCAATGGCACCGCAGCCACTCCCTCCAGCTGCAGTGCGATCGCCCGCACCGGAACGCGTGGCACATCCATGCCTGCGTTCTGGTGCGTTTAGAAAAAAATAGTGCATGCCGCATTTTTTGCTGATGCGTTCCGGTGCGGGTGATCACACTAAGGCCTTGGCTGCGGTGCCATTGACTTCAATGCACCGCCACACTCCCACCCCAAAACAAGTGAGCCGGCCAGGATGCGATCCAGTGCGTTCCGGCACCGAATGAATGGGGGAGTCCCACAAAACAATGCAGGACCTAGGCTCGTAGGAAGATGTATGCTTGTGCTTGGGATGGACATCCGGAATTAAACTGGCCATACGTTGTTGGTAGACTTTCGTCCAAAATCACATTAGAACATTCCATAATGGCATCAGAGACGGGACAAACGGCGTTTGAATTTGAATTCAATTTTGGAGCCTCTTGAAGGGAAACCACATTCGCTGTTACAAAGATGTCCATCCTCCATTTTGTTTTCATCACTACAGCCAAAAATGATCATTAATTTGACCCCGCTGACTATTCCAAAAATCTAGCAAATGCTCAGAAATGTTTTTTTTTTTTACGGCTCTCGACATGTGAAGGCCTGTGGAGGATTTTTTGGGGCTTTTTTCACTCATACTTGAAACCTGCAACACATTTATAATGGAACAAAAAGGTCATACTCACTTTACATAACGTCCATATGGCTTCTGAAGACGTCCGATGTCTTCTCGGGAGGGAAAGCTGCGGATTGAGGCTCTCAGACAGTCAGGCAAAGAGTAATTTGATTTCAGCAGGGCCTCCAGTGAGGGCTGGACTCTATCTCGGACAACACCCATCCCCCTACACATCTGGTGTGTTATCGATAACCCAACTATTATCTGGCCAGCTATTGCTTGACTCATTCAGTGCTGGAGCATAATCATCTACAGTGGGATGGATAATATGACGGCTGTATGAACAGGGAGGTGGCTTTGTTCTAATTCTGCGGCGTGTGTTTCTTGTCCGATGTGCTGAAGACTTAAGGCTGTCCTTGTCTAAAAGGTGCATAGAAAAGATACATGCTATGATGTGACCGCATCTGTGGAAGTAGTCTGGTGTAAAAGGTCTGTCAATTAAAACTAGCCATATACCAGTCGAATTTTGACCAACAAAATTGGGGTTTGCAAAGTTCATTCAATGTTCTAATCGGGTCAAATGAAATCCATTTTGACCATAATGATAACAATTTGAAGGATCAGGATGGAAATTTTTTCCCCCCAAACACATGAAATTTTGAGAGTGAATGTGGTTTCTGTTCAGTAAACTCCATTCTTTTCCAAAATTGAATTTATTTGAACTCCAGGAATAAAAATACTTACCCTTGCAGTGGGGCAACCCCCGTGCTGCAAGGGTTACGTGCTGGTGTGTTTAGGGGTCAAAGCAGATATACTCACCTGACCCTCAATCCTGCCTCTTTCCTAGACTAGTCTCTGGAGGTGTAAGGATTGGTGACATCTTCATATCTGCAGCAGGTCAATTGACTTGCATTGGACGCCGGGAGACATTTAGTAGGCGGAGCGGACGGGCACAGAGGTGAGCACTGACCACTGTGGGACAGAGGATCATGTGAGTAAAACAGCTTTATTCAAGCCCCCAGCCCCCTAGACAAAACGAGTAGTTAAAAGAGAACTATGAGGTAAGTGGTTTTCACCATAGTTCTCTTTAGGCTCATGGGAGGACATAAACTAGCGTCCTACCGTGACCCAAAGCTCAGTATATCGCGAGGTACAGCTCACTATATACTGAGACCGCCACAGCCGGGACGGAACCCGACATTACTGTCGAGATCCACCCAGCTGTGTGATTGACAGCGGGCTCTGCCTATCTAGAGGCAGAGCCAGCTGTACCTGCCCCCTCCCCCATCCGTTCTGCTATTGCCCGCGATATACAGTGAGCGCCGCAGCCAGGACGGATCCCAACATTACTGTCAAAATCCACCCAGCTGCGTGAGTGACAGCTGGCTCTGCCTATATAGAGGCAGAGCCAGCTGTGCCCGCCCCCTCCCCTGTTTGTTCCTCCACTCAGCACGGGAGGAGGGGAATCCCTGCGGGGAGCTGTGACTGACAGTCACCACTCACTGCAGGGAGACAACCGAGAAGTGAGCGGATCGGTGCATGTTTCTGCTCACTTCCCAATTTATAGATCCGACCTGTGACAGATTCTTTGTCACAGGTCGGCTCTAACTATGAGGATGAGTGGAAAGCACTCACCTCATAGTTCTCCTTTAACTCTTGCAGTGTGAGGATAGGCCCACTGTAGGGGTGAGTTTCTTTAAATTCTCACAGTTCTTTAATAGCAAACAAATGTAACTACATTCGTCAAGTCTCTGATGGTATCCTCGAATGTTCTGATGAGATTTTCCATATGAGCATTCGTGCAAAAATTCACCAGGGTATGGCCAGCCTAAGTGTTGGGTGGATGATGGTTAGAAGCAATTTGCTTCTCCATTGGCGAGGTTCTCCCACATGGGTTCCTAGATTCAGCCACCTGCTGCAGTCTTTACATAGGGATTCTGTTATTATTTACTTTGGTGTAGCTTGCTGTGGGAGGAAAGAGATTCCTGGCTTCAGTATCACTGCTACGGTGGCACTACACGGAACGTTGGCACAGGTCTTGCCAATGGATTGCTAAGGAAAGCTAAAGCCCATCTCTGGGCAAACCAAAGAGCAAAAAACAAAAAGAACCTCAAGTCCAAATTCACTGTGACATTATGACCGTAGGATTAATGATAGAGGCAGGAAGGCCTGTGGGGCACTTCATGAGCAGAGGCTTGGCCTGAGCTGCTCCACCATTGTGTTGTGAAAGGTGGACTCTGCATTGTCTGCATGGACAAAAGAGGTTCTTTCCAAAGGCATTTTTTCCATAAGACTTTTTCGTAACACGTACAGTATTCAATACGAAAGAGAGTTTGCATCTGATAACTGATCTGTTTAAAACCTTACTGCAGGATACGTCCAGCGATTGGTCCATGTAAGCCATGAACTCCACTTCATCGTCTCTGGGACTCCTGTCGGGGTACAATTCCTCCAGCTCAGATGAAGAGGAAGGCGCTGAGAGTAGCTCAGGGTAAGTCATCTTAAAGCTGAACTCTAGACAGATATAAAGACGCAAATGAACGCAGCTTTGTATTCTTTATTACATCATTAAACAAATAACTTCTCTTATTTGTCCCTTTTTAGATCTGTGAGAACAAAATGCTTTCCGAGGTTTATTTATCATTTCAACAGGTGCAAAAAATACTAGTTGGGCACCGATTCCTCTTTGCCGTTATCAACTGGCATTGTTCCCAGTTCTCTCTGTGAGTCACCTCTGTTATGAAGAAGCGAAGGGGTCAGGTGTTACAATAGCTATGGAGGAACAGTGTGGTCACCCTAAGACTACAGAGCACCCCCTCCTTCTTCATAACATGGGCTGAAGAGCTTATTAGTCCACAGAAAGAACTGGTCATGGCTGATAAGACTGCTAAAGATATTGCATAGTGTGCAGGTCAGCACTGGATTTCTGTACTTATCAAACAGATATACCAAAATGCTTTCAAAAGTATATTTAAAACTAGCGGTGCACCAGAATAAAAATTATAAAACGAAACCGCAATTGAAAGAAATGTCAGACCGAAACCGATTTTTTTTTTTTTCTAACTTTTTCGAATGTTTAAAAATATTTTATCATTATTTATTTTTATAAACATTTACATTTTTTTTATTTTTTATTAAATATTTGTATTTTCTACTTTTACTTTTAGGGGCTTCGGGGAAATATTAGGGGTCCAAACAGACCCCTGATATTTCTCTTTATAAAATAGAAAAAGAGATTGAGGACTCTGTGTCCTCAATCTCTTTTTTTGCAGCCCCTGTTGTAAATGAACAGGAATCCTCTATACTGAGTGTTCCTGTTCATTGATAACATGAGGACATTGTGTGTTTACTATAACCACAATCATGAATGAACAGGAAGTGATGTAGATGACTTCCCATTCATTCATAATTGAGGATATAGTAACCATACTCTGTCCTCAATTATCTACAAACACTCAGCGATCACTGATCAGTGACTGCTTGTACCCGCTCTTCTTCCTGACACGCTGTCACAGGAGGCTGAGCGAGCGGTGCGGGCAGGAGAGTTCGATCTGACAGCTGACTCCACCCCTGCACCGCTGTCCAGCCTCCTGTGACAGTGCTGGCTGTCTCCGCCCACACACCGCTTTGCCGATCTGTGACAGGAGGCTGAGTGGTGCGGGGAGGAGAGACGCCGGCCACTCACAGCGCTCTCCTCTCACAGCACTCAGCCACCGGTGACAGTTTCTCTCCTCCCCGCTGCGACACAGAGCAGCACCCAGCGGGAAGGAGAGAAAGCAGGGATGCTCCGCTATTTCGGCAGAAAATGGCACTTTCTGCATTTTGGCAAAAGTACCATTTTTGGTGCATCCCTATTTATAACATCAAATGTGAGAAATAAAGTTGGCCATCGTTATGGTTTACATACACATTTAAGGTCATACCTGTCATGAGAGCACATGGACGCTGCCATATCCGACTTCTCCTTGCGCAACTACTAGTTGCTTTACTGGCATAGAACATGTAAGCAGATCAGGACTACTGACTTTTCTCATGTGTATACGTGTTCAGGCTATACTATTTCTGAAGCCCTAACAATAACTTTTTCAGTAACCCTAACATTAACCCTTTCTGTAACCCTTACACTAAATCCCAACCCTTTCAGCTGACCTTTACATGGCAGTATGACATTTCTAAAAACAAACATTCTTATATGCATTAGTATGCAATGACCCAAATGAACACCTTTAAAACGCTATATTTGTGTCTATAAATACCTTTTTTTTAAGTTTAAATTTCGGTCCTGGAATGTAGCGGGTGGCCATGTTTGAAGAGGGCAAATTCTCCTCTTTCCTGGATTTCATCTGCCGCCATCGAGAGTAATACCTGTGCCTGCGCAGCTTTACAAGGTTCAATGGCCACACCCCCTTCTGACGGAAAAAAGAATATGACTGTGAGTTTGAGATCTCACAGCTATTTTCTTTTTTCATGAGGAAACCCAGTGTGCATCATTTTCGCACACTCATTTTTGCCCTTTCAAAGCCGGAAGTGAATGCTCTGCAAGTGTAAGTACATCAAAATGACAGCATTTTGCACCTGACGTGATTAGGTTATTATTGATCGTCATAAATAGAGGGATGCATTGGTAGATTTAGATTTTTGAGTGTAAAGGTCCACTTTAAAGGAGAACTATGGGGTCGGTGTTTTTCCCCATAGTTCTCCTTAGGGTTACGGGAGGACACAAACTAGCGTTCTCCCGTGACCCAAAGCTCAGTATACCGCGAGCTACAGCTCGCAGTATACTGAGACGCCGGAGCGGATCCCGACATCGATGTCGAGATCCGCCCAGCTGCGTGAGTGACAGCTGGCTCTGCCTATCTAGAGGCAGAGCCAGCTGTACCCGCCCCCTCCCCCGTCCGTTCCGCCAGTCAGCGCTGGAGGAGCGGGGAATCCAGCCCCTCCCCTGTCACGGCAGAGAGCCGTGACAGGATCGAGAGGTGAGCGAAGGCCGGTATGTGTTCGCTCACCTCCCGATCTACTGAGCCGACCTGTGACAGTCTCATTGTCACAGGTCGGCTAGAACTATGAGGTGAGTGGAAATCACTCGTCTCATAGTTCTCCTTTAACCCTTTCGCTGCCAATAAAAAAAGCACAACCCCTCCCTCCCCCCACATAACACACACATATTGTGGTGCACACCATGCACATGCGCTGCAGTGCGTTGTTAGAACGCATCGCAGTGCATGATCTTTTTTATTTTTATTTTTTCTTTAAAAAAAACATTAAATTAACTGTGGCAGCGCATGGCAAAGCTTTGTGACTCATTGCCATGCGTTGTGATACCTTGTGTTGCAATTAAATATACACCTGTATCATTTTATCACAACACAAACACCAAAACAATTTTTTACATAAGTCGATTATTTACAGTTTTGCCTACCTTCATTTTTTTACCTTTTCGCAAAAAGGCGCAATTACAAATTTGCTAATATTTGTTATTTATTAACTCAATACAGTTTTATCTTTTAGATTTAGTCAAAAAATATTTTTTTTTGTGCACGGATACTGATTTTGGTGTGTTTTAACAATTGAATTGTGTATTTTTATCGGTTTAATATTAATTTGAGAAACATTTGCGCAATTATCGCAGGGCCTACAAATTTAGTATCACCATCTTTTTATTCTAACGGGCCTGCGCTTTCAGAAAATATATGGTTTGGGGGGTCTTTTACAAACGTTAGCAACGCAGCAGTTGAAAATCAAATCAATGGGAAAAAATTGCAGAAAATTCAAAAATGGCATGGCCAGCTGATTTGAAAAATGTTCCGGAGGGCTTGGCAGCGAAAGGGTTAATACATGATAACATCAATCTTCAATGTAAACCTAGCATCATTGTAACCCTCACTAAGCCTTTCTGTAACCTTACAATTAACGGACATGCCAACTTCCTACAACCCTTACACTAGACCTCACTGTAACCCTAATTCTAATCTATATACTCACATTCCAAAATCCCTAATATTAACTCTCACACTAACCCCCTTGTAACTTTAACACTAACTCGCATGCCAACTTTTCCTACAACCCTGACACTAACTCTTCCTGTAACCCTTCCACTATTCCTCACACTAAATCTCCCTATACATAGCACTAACTCTTATTTTATTAAACTTAACCCATTGTTCGCATACTCACTAGGGATGCACCGATATATCGGCTGCCGAAATTGGCACTTTTGGCATAATGCGGGAGGAGAGCGCTGTGAGTGGCCGGCGTCTCTCCTCCCACACTGCTCAGCCTCCTGTGACAGATCGGCAGAGCGGTTGTGGGCGGAGACAGCCCGCGCTGTCACAGGATGCTGAGCACTGCTTGCTCCGCCTCCTGTGACAGTGAGTCAGGAAGGAGAGCGGGTACAAACACAGTGTTTGTAAATAATTGAGGACATGGTATGGTTAATATATCCTCAATTATGAATGAATAGGAAGTGATCTACATCACTTCCTGTTCATTCATGATTGTGGTTATAGTAAACACACAATGTTCGCATGTTATGAAGGAAGAGGAACACTCAGTATAGAGGATTCCTGTTCATTGATAACAGGGAATACAGAAAAAGAGATTGAGGACTTTGTGTCCTCAATCTCTTTTTCTATTTTAAAAAGGGATTTTAGCCCCCGAATATTTCCCTGAAGCCCCTAAAAGTAAAAAATAATAATATTTAATGAAATTTAAACAAAATGTAAAAGTTTATAAAAATAAAAAATGTGAAAAAGTTAAAATAAAAAACATTTTCGGTTTTGGCCTGACATTTTCTCTGTTTCGGTTTTGAAATTTTCATTTCGGTGCACCTCTAATGCTCGCATCTCCTGCTGGGGATCCTCTACACCAAAGACTAACCCTTTCTTATCAGAAACGTAGTGGGGTCCCCGGTTCGAATCCCTGGCAAGTCACTGCGCATGACGTTTGCATGTTCGCCCTGCGCTTGTGTGGGTTTCCTCTGGGTACTCCGGTTACCACCCACATTCCAAAAGACATGTTAGTAGGTTCATTGGCTCCTGTCTAACTTAGCCATAGTATGTGTGAGTCTAAAAATGCTAACTGCACCCTCCTAGGCAGACCCGGGTAACACTCTGTCTGGTTAATGCAGCTCTGGTACTCATTTCAAGTATGGAGCCACAGGAAAAAAAAAAGTGCCAAAGTTTAAACATTGCAATGTGGTCATGGTAGTAGGAAGGGGAATTCTCTGTGCTGGAATCTCCCACCTTTTATGTTAATCAGTTGTATTTAGTCATTTAAACATATTTTACTGTTTTTGTTCTCCTTTTTAGCCCTCTGTTGTCACTTTTTTGTTTAGGCCTGCTCCATCCAAAACGAACTTCTTTGCAGATGCAGCCTCCAGCAGTGACGATGAAGAGGACGGTAAAAAAGAATCCGAGAAACCCACCGCACCTCTTCCTTCTCCCTCGCTCTCTACTCGCCTCCCCGCACCACGACTTGGTGCTCAGAGTAAAGTAAGCACCAGTGGGGTGTTTGCAAACCCCTTCCGGGATGAGGAACGGGCCCAGCTGAGTATCCTGGAACGTCACGTCAAGCTGAGTGACAGCAACTGGGCAAAGGGTGGGAGAGGAGTCTGTCTGGCTTACCAGAGGGACGGACGGTGCCGCTACGGAACAAAATGCAAATACAGTCACAAAACTGACTTACCACCGGGGGCTACAATGGCGAGCCATGGAGAACTTTCTGGCAGCGGAGGTGATGCTCTGGAGATAGTCAAAGACAACTCCAAACTGGGGGAGTTACAAAGTGGAGAGGAAGGGGGAGTAAAGATGCAAGCTGAGAGGGGCAAGAGGAAAAAGCCAGGACTTAGTAACACTCTCATCCCTCCAAAGAAAGCCATGAAGAATTACCAAAAGCAATTGTCATCTGAAAGACCCTGGGCTTTGTAAATGTTTTTTGTAACAGCCTCGAATACCTAGTTAGGGTTTGGTCAACTATATTATTGAATGGGGCTTTTTAAAGAGCAGTCATAAAATGCAAAGTCTGATTACCAAGGGCTGCCACCTAAAAACAGCTTTCCCCAGTAACTGCAGCTAGTAAGAAAGAAGCTTTCCCCAATTCCTCCCCAGTAAACTGAAATCTATGGAGTAGTGTCCTTTGTATTTTCTGCACTTTGGACTGTCATATTAAAAAGTCAGTCCAACCAAGACTGGTATTGAAGTCATTCATGGATACTGGTGAGATACTCACCTACTGGAGTTCCCAGCTCTCCATTCATCAACATAAAGCCAGCAGGTCGAGCGAGACTTCCTCGGAAATGACTGTAGCAGTTGGTTGCAGCTGTGAATTCAGTTTTAATGCGAACAGTCACCGTTTTCCACAGATATAGGTCTGTGCAAACATGAAACATAACATTGTGCTGACTGACAATGTAACTAAGCCTGTTTTCTTTCCTCTTTCTCGTGACTGTTACATGTTAAGGAATTTAGGTGAACAGTCTCCCTCCTTTTCTTTCCCCCAAGACTTTGGATCAGCAGACCGTCCTTCTCAACTACAAGCATGCGTGTGTGATGATCTTGGTCTGTAGTGGCAATGTTGCAACACTCTCATCCTGTCCGCATAATTGAGATAGCGTACAATTGCGTTGTCCTCTTTTGGTGGGCCCAATCGGTGTGCCATTTCTACCATGCAAGGCACTGGTATAGGGAGAGCTTCCGGGATAGGGCAGGCTCAGAGTTTTGCGAGTATCGACGGTTTATACGCTTCCGGGAGACCCACAATCCGCAAGTTGTTCCTCCTGGATCTATCTTCCAGTTTTGCTTGCATAGAAAGAGTCAACGATTCATCTTGCGACAATTTAACCTGTGCTTCCAGGAGATCATCTTCCACACTGGAGATCCTCTGCTCAGCCAAAGAGATGGAGCGTGCCTGTGCTGAGATCTCCTTTCTCAGCTGGAGTAGCCCCTGCTGAATGGCTGACTTCATAGCCTCCGTTATTGTGGGCTTGAGAAGCCTGGCCACTGCCTTTGCTATCCTGGCATGTGAGGAGCCATCCAGGGAGGATGTAGGAGAGGGGCTGCAGCCGCCATCTTGGCTGCAGCGTGTGCCTGTGTCCCCTCCAGCACACGGGGTACCGATCGGGTCCCTTTCGGTTCCAGAAACCGGTCCATGCAGTCGCCCCTGGTCTCCTGATGCCGACCGACCAGCTCGGGCGCTCGTGTGGGCACTCCGGTGGCCGGAATTTGTAAGTAGGAGAATGCTGGGGACGGAGTGCTGTCTCCCCGCCACGGCTTACATGGGGGCCGGAACCGTAGTGCAATGTTAAGATATCGTAACGTGTTCCCAATATGTCTGATAAGTGTAATCTGAAAGGCCCAGAAATAAGTTGAAAGGTAACATGCTTGAAGAGCATTTCTTTACTGCACAGGAGGTAGATAATATGACAGAGAGGTCTAACAATGTATGACAAGGCCAACTCATACCCCCACACTTTAAAAAAAAAAATTAGATTTGGATACTTTTGCTTTCTGTGTCTCCCAAAGAGATTTGTTCTTATGTCCTGACCGGGTGTCACATTGCCAGGTAGTGATGGGTAATCACTCCAATGGGGGCACAGAGGACACAAAAACCTTTCCGGTTTTATTGCTCTCTGTGTCCTTTCTGTCCCAGTTATACTCATTCAGCTAAACCCTTGTGCTGGTGGCACTGGGGCAGGAAATGAGTGAAGACTTTCATAGCAGGGCTAAAGACAGCAAGAATTGGCAACAGAGTTCTAAGCCTTCCCAACTCTAGTCAACACTAACAGGGTTATTCACAAAAGGGTAACGCGTTTGGAGAAGGCGGGAGAAGGGCACAATTTAGGACAACATAGCTGAACTGGAAAGTGAGCTGAAATGGAGAATTTTTCCTAATCAGCTATGTTGTCCTAGATTGGTCACTTCTCCTGTCTTCTGCAAACTCTTCACCCTGTAGTGAATAACCCTGTAAATTTTGTCTGGAGTTGGGATTTAATATCAAAGGTCTGAGTAGAGTCGCTCTTTCCTTGTAGAAAATCGTAAGCCCTTCTTGCTGTCGTACAAGTCTTAAACTTGAGGAACTTAGATTTCACCCCATTAACCACTCGCTGTTTTTCCATTGTGAAAACACAGGCGGATGGCAGACTCTATCCCAGCGGGTGGACTTGCCTGAACGTCATTTTTTTTTCTAGGTGAGCAGAATCCTGCCGGGAATGTAAACAGCCGGTGCTGGCTGTTACATTCAAGCGTTCAGCCGGCCGATCGCTTGTATGACACTAAAAAGCGTGCGCCCCCCTCCGCTACTGCACCCCCTTTCCTCCAACGCCACTGCCAGTTATCCTATCCAGTTGTCTCTGCTTCATCAGCTTCTTTGGGGGTCCCAAGGTGACATTAGGGATCTTAAAGATGTCTCCATAAAAAGGACCTGTCATTGTATATTGGCTATCCCACAGGGGGCTTGTTAGCCCCATATGTGATAGCAATAAAGTTAAGTGTAAAAACAAAAAGTTTAAAAAAAATAATATTAAAGTCTAATATAAAAAACATGCACGCACATATAAACGTAAATACGCATCGGGTGTGACTACGTGCAAAAACAACAATTACGCTACACATGCTACACAGAGTGTGAGAAATAATTCTACTGCAATTAAAAACCCCAGCGATGATTAAATACCACCAAAAGAAAGCTCTATGTGTCCCCAAAAATGGTATAAAATTCATTTCAGTACAGCATTGTAAGACGGAATAAATGTCAAAGTACCGCAGCGCTGAATACTGACAAATGGCCTGGACAGGAAGGGGGGGGGGTTAAACACCCGGTCAGCCAAGGGTTAATCATCCAGAGGGAGAAATTCATCTTATAGGGGGAAAAAGGACAAAAATATGCTTAAATGAAACTGGACAAAGTAAAAAAATTACATATGACTATCATTAAGATAACAGTGTTAAGTGTTCCCCTGCTAAATAATGATTTGCTGGAGTTAGGCATTCATTTGCAAGTACCGTACTTTGCGCTCCATAAGGCCATTGGACGCAGGGAGGGTATTGTGACAGCTGTAGTTCCTGACAGCTGAGACAGGTGGCGCTGTGATTACAGCACCACGGTCTCAGTGATCACACAGAGAAGACAAAGAACGGACGTTCTTCGTCTGCTTTAGGGGTTCTATGGTGAGCTCCTATGCCCTGGTCACAGATCCCGCAGAGGAGCGGGGGGGCCCCCGGACACAATCGCCGCTCGATTTGATACAAGTGATCTGATTAGATCACTTGTATTAAACGAGCAGCGGCTCCCACTGTACATTAGCTCTGCTTGTCCGGAGCCGTGCTGAATGTACAAAAAAAACTACTCGCCCGGCACCCGAAACTGCATGTCCTGGGCAGTAGGGATTAGCTCCCTAAGACGCAGAGACATTTTTGCCCGCCTTTTGGGGGGAAAAAAGTGCGTCTTATGGAGCGAAACATCCGCTATATAATCACTCTACTTATCCATCTAACACCGCCGTTTCCACAGGTTGACAATACTGCTGTCCAAGGGCGGCTCAAGTTCTCCTCCATAGAGTGGCTCTACCCCAAGGCAGGAAGTGTGTTACTGGTCGCATCACCACGGGAAAATAAAAGAAAAAAGCATTCCAAAAAAAAAAGGGAATGCAGCCACCCAATGGAAGGTCTGTTTTGGGTTTAGGGACGCTTTCATGCTGTGCTCTCCAACACATCGCCTACATATTCAATCATGTCTAGATCTGGCGATTGAGGAGGCCATGGAAGGTGCTTTAACTCACCGTGAAATGCCTGGTGGTCAGTGTTGTGTATGGAAGCGTTATCACCCTAGGGCATCAGAAAGAACAGTACTGGGGTCTAATGATCCTCCTGCTCCAGTGCAATGATATCATATCCCTTGCTGTTATACGACTATGCAGAGCAATCTTCTGAGCCAGTATCTCGCACTACATGGCAGCATCTACTGTTACAGATACCCCATCATGTTTACCAGCCAGCCAAAAACATCAATTTACGAAGCCGGACATCACAAACTTATTCTACATTTGTATGTGATTTTATGTCATGGTCATTTTAGCATCAATAGGTTGGATTTGCAAAAATAAATATCACATGACTGTGGAATTTTTGTTTCTGCGTGAAATGAGCGTATACATAACAGCGCATAAGCCTTATGAACTGCCACCTAAGATGGCTTCCCTTCCTGCTCTCTTTAATGTGGAATCTTACTGTTAAATGCAGGGGCGTAACTAGAAACCTCAGGGCCCCGGTACAAGAAACCATCAAGGCCCCCCCCCCCCCAAAAAAAAACATGATTTTGATACCTTTTTTCTATTAAACAGTATGTGTGTTATAACTTTCAGGGCTAGTTCACACCAGCTCCAGTGCGTTCCGGCCCGATTTGGTGCTGGAACACGCTGGATCGCATCCCGGCCAGATTAATGCTCCCTCCCACCCCAGAACGCAGTAAAGTCAATGGCACCGCAGGCACACCCCCCGGCCGCAGTGCGTTCGCCTGCACTGGAATGCATGGCAAATAAATGCCTGCGTTCCAGTGCGCTCAGAAAAAATAGTGCATGCAAATGGAGTTCCCTGACTGGCCAAACCCCCCGCTACAGCGTCTTCACCATCCCTCTGTCTGAACCGGTCCGCTAGTGTCCAAAACAACATGGGCAGCATGAGGCAGCTGCGTGTGGCGGGCCCTCTTCTTTCTCTCTGGGCTCCCCCCAACTGGCCGAAACACCAGGGTCGGTCGCAAATGTGACCGCTGCGACCCCGGTCATTTCGCCTGTGCGTAGCATCAGGGCATTTTCACGAGTACTTGTGAAAATGGCCAGTATTGGCACTGGTGCGTCCCTACTTAATAATATAATGTATTGCTGAGACTTGTAGTCCTACATAGTTGGTGCTATTCGGCATCGCTGTATAATCATTATACAGGAATACTACCAGCTATGCAGGACTACAAGTCC